TGAGACAGAGTCTCGCTCTGCCACCCAGGCCGGAGTACAGTGGCGCGATCTTGGCTCACTGCAATCTCTGCCTCCCAGGTTCAAGCGATTCTCATGCCTCAACCTCCCAAGTAGGTGGGATTACAGTTGCCCGCCACCATGCCCAGCTAATTTTTTGTATTTCTAATAGAGACGAGGTTTCACCATATTTGCCAGTATGGTCTCGAACTCCTGACTTCAAGTGATCCACCCGCCTCGGCCTCCCAAAAGTGTTGGGATTACAGGCGTGAGCCACCGTGACCAGCTAGGACACATATTCTTATACCATTTAGAGCCAAAATATTTTTATATTAGGATGAGGCCAGGCTCATAAGTAGTTGGGCTGTATAGTCGATCCAGTGTCCTCTGCCACTGGACTTGTAATATAGCTTATGGAGGAGCTTGGCTGTGACATGGATTCTGTAGAATGGGAGAGAGTTTATTAGGAGGAAGAGTAGGTATCAGTGTCTCACTTGGATTTAGGGGCAGTTATAGGCTGTGCAACCTGAAACAACACAGCCAGTGGTAAACTATGCTTGCAGAATGTGTATTGAATCTTACTGAAGTCAGAGACACTCTTTCCAGTTTCCTGTGAAATCTTAGCCAAAGTGGGACTTGATAGGTAAAGATTTTGAAGTTTTCGGAGCTTTGTATTTATTCCATAGGATTATGGTACAAGATGTAAAAGTGACTTTTGGCAGATTTAAGAGGATAAATCAGTTATATCTTTACTTCCTTGCTAGGGGTTTGTTCATGTAGGGCTTCAGTTACTCAAAGTGGGATTGTGGCCATATTCACTTTGTGTGTCGTTTAATGTTCACATTTGGCTTATTTGTGCCTATATTATCTGTAATAGAAACTGGTAAATGCTTAGCCTGTGTGGGGTTGGTCTTGGCATTTTAATTAGCATTCGTGATACTTGAGTATTTCTTACCTGCCCGAACTACTATGGTTACATTGTTTTGTCACATAATTGAGTATAAAATAATGACACTTTCTTTTTAGTCCCAGAAATCCTGGATTAAAGGAGTATTTGACAAGAGAGAATGTAGCACAGTCATACCCAGCTCAAAAAATCCTCACAGGTAAAATTTTCAATTACATTCTTCTTTTAAAAGCAACACTACCTGGAGGACTGTTTATAGAAACTTAGAAATATGACTTGTTTAGAAGATTTGATTATATCTATAAAATTAGAATTTTAGAAATATGACTTGTTTAGAAGATTTGATTACATCTATAAAGTTAGAATTTTCAATGTTTATTTCTTTCACTTTATAAAAATAGTACATGATTATTGTAGAAAATCTGGGAAGAACAGGGACCTTGTTAATTTTTACCTTACTCTTACTCCAGTGTCTGTGACAGTGCCTGCCACATAGTAGGCTCTTGATAAACATCTGTGTTTTTTTTTTTTTCCATTTTTTTGAGATGAAGTCTCGCTCTTGTCCCCCAGGCTGGAGTGCAATGGCTCAATCTCAGCTCCCTGCAACCTCCACCTCCCGGGTTCAAGCAATTCTCCTGCCTCAGCCTCCCGAGTAGCTGGGATTACAAGTGCCTGCCACCATGCCTGGCTAAGTTTTGTATTTTTAGTAGATGGGGTTTCACCATGTTAGCCAGGATGGTCTTGATCTCCTGACCTTGTGATCCACCCACCTCGGCCTCCCAAAGTGCTAGGATTACAGGCATGAGCCACTGCACCCGGTGATAAATATCCGTTTAAGGAATTTAATGAAGTATAAAGAAGTTTTTCTCAATGCCGTCACTGTTAATATTGTCGTGGATTTTATTCTACTTGATGCTTCTGTTCCTCTTGATGGGGGTATAGACGTTACAGAAATATCTAGTGTTACATCCGTTTCACTGGGTTGGAATCAATAATTTACATTTTCTGACTACTGAATATTCCAAATATTGTGAGTGTTTCTTATCCCCAACTAAAGTATCTGTGGAAAATAGTGACTGGTATATTTCATTACACTGTGCCCAGATTAGACAAACAGGTAATTTCAGTTCCATTTTCCTTCCATAGACTTTATTTTTATGGAATGCTTTATGAATTTGCATGTCATCCTTGAGCAGGGGCCATGCTAATCTTCTCTGTATCATTCCAATTTTAGTATGTGTGCTGCCGAAGCGAGCGCCCGTAGGCTTTTGGATTGAGCAGATAATCGGCAGCAGATGGAATAATTTGAGTTTGACTACTGAGTTCTTGACAACGCTTTGGAAGCTCTACTTGTAGAACGAAGGTCAAAAAAGCAACTAGTGAAAGATAGGGGAAGAAAGGGCTATGGAAAATTCCTCTGGGTAATCAGGTCTGTGAAATTAAGATTGACATTGCCCTTGGAAAAATAAATTAAAAGGAAAATAGAAGAGTAATATTTTAAGTAAGGGAACCACTCTATTTTTAGATATTTTTGAGCATTTGTCCTTTTATTCCTTTAAGGTTTAGAACTCATAACTATGTGCTTATCAAGGGTAGCATGGTAAGGTTTTTGAAATTCTAGTTCTTTGGAGATGACTGAAATAGTTTTCCTTGCCTTTGTTAAATATTTACTAGTCCCACCCTTACTGAATTACCTATGATTTGTAAGTCTTGTGATTGGAAATTCTCATTTTACCTGCTTAAAAAAAGTTTATAGTATGCCAAGATAACCTTGTTTTTCTCCTTCATCTTTTATGACATCGTGTGGTGGTGACTGGAATGCAAATTGATTCAGGTGGTTCATTTTGTGTCTGTGAATAAAAAAATCATTTTCACAATAATCTTGAATCTCAAAAAAAGTGATGAAATTACTCTTTTACTAGCCCATAGACTGAAGAAGAATATCAATGATTGTTAATTCCACGAATGTTCTAAGGCATGGTATACTTTAGCAAGTGAAAAAACAGTCTCTATATTGTAGGTTTGTAGATAAAAGTTAGTGGATGATTATGGCTATTTCTTCTATGCCAGCCTTTTTCTTAGATTCTAGTAAAATTCTCAGAATTGTAGCTTTTATGTGGTTTTCTTCATTACGGTGCACAGGAAGAGGGTGATAATTCATTTTTTAAAATATCGATAAAAGTTTCTTTCTTTTATTATTTTTGTAGCTCCCAATAAGAAACAAATGTGATACACTTGATTATAACATCTTTTTCCTTCTCATATTCAATTTACTGTTGAAAGAAAGCTTCTGAGAAAAGGCATTCCGGAAAGGCTGGGACAGGAAGAAATAAAAGTCCTGAATATTAGTTTCTGAATAACTTAGAGCAACCCTTATTTTATGAACATTACCTTTTCTTCCTTTTTTTTTTTTTTTTTTTAATTTTGAGACGGAGTCTCACTCAGTCGCCCAGGCTGGAGTGCAGTGGCGCGATCTCGGCTCACTGCAAGCTCCACCTCCCGGGTTCACACCATTCTCCTGCCTCAGCCTCCTGAGTAGCTGGGACTACAGGCGCCCGCCACTGCGCCCGGCTAATTTTTTGTATTTTTAGTAGAGACGGGGTTTCACCGTGGTCTCGATCTCCTGACCTTGTGATCTGCCCGCCTCGGCCTCCCAAAGTGCTGGGATTACAGGTGTGAGCCACCGCACCCGGCCTCTTCCATTATTTTAACTAGAATTCCCTGTTAATACTTCTTCTCACACACACACACACACACACATTTTGAGACAAGATCTTGCTGTGTCCCCCACGTTGCAGTGCAGTGGCATGACCTTGGCTTACTGAAGCCTCAACCTCCAGGACTCAAGCAATCCTCCCACCTTAGCCTCCCCAGTAGCTGGGATCACAGGCACACATCAGCACACAGGGCTAATTTTTTGAATTTTTTTATAAGAGTCAAGGTCTTATTATGTTGCCCAGGCTGGTCTTGGACTCCTGAACTCAAGCAATCCTCCCACCTCAGCCTCCCAAAGTGCTGGGATTACAGGCATAAGCCACTGTGCCTGGCCCAAAAATATAATTGATGACCACAGTGCTAACCCCTAAATCCATAAGGTTCTTCTGAATCATAAAAAAGAAAGATAAAGGATTATTTATAATGATACCAAATGTCCCTTATTTGATAGTGCTTTATGGTTTTAAAGTGGTTTACATATATATATTGTCTTGATTCTCAAGAAATCTGTGTTATCTTCATAGTTTAATAATAATAATAGCTACCATTATTGTACACACTGTCTACCAGGTACCATTAGACACATTACATATTATTATCTGAGATTTAAATTGAGGTATTTTGGTTCTAAACTGAATGTTGTATTAATTAGATCATAGTTGCTGCAGTAATTATATGTGGTAAATGCCATAATGGAATATTTGGAACATGATATATGAATTTCAGCAAACCTTGTTTTATAGATCATGCAAAAGAATAGATATTTACTGTACAAGCATTAAATGTGTTTTCAAATACACCAACAAACTAACAGAGGTTTTATTTCTTTAATTTAGGTGTACTCCAGCATGCCAGTTCTGCCAGAATTTAATCAGGTAAGACTTAGATAAGCAAGATTACTTTTAGCTTTTAGGCATCCTATTTAAAATTCACTGGGACAGTTTCCTCATATCTTGAATGGACTCAGTAAATGGTGCATACGATTTACCTTTCCAAGGGAAGTTTTAAAAAGATGTTTTTGATGGAGAGTGTGTATTCAAACGTAATAGACTACTTGAATTACTGAGACATGTAAATTGGCTAAGGCCCTTCGACAAGAATTTCTACTTGTAAAGCATTGGAAACACTTGTAAAGCATTACATTTTAGTTTTATGATCACGTTTGGATAATGAAGATGCTGCATGCACATACGGGACTATAATTGATGTATGACTTGCAGGTGCTGTGTATGCATACTAAGCTTATGGACAAAAACAGCTCTTTAGTGCAATATAAATTTTAACAGTGATTTGCATTTTAAACTACGTGACCGTTTTTACCTTTCTCTTTTGTAAGTGGAAGGAAATGAAATTTTCTTAATTTTGATCATAGCCTGAAGTTTATATAATGGATTGAACCAAAGTTAAATTTATTCTTGGAAAAAAACATTTGGGGCTAGGCACGGTCACTCACACCTGTAATTCCAGGATTTTGGGAGGCCAAGGAGGGTGGACTGCTTGAGGTCTGATTTGAGACCAGTTTGGACAACATGGTAAAACCCTGTCTTGACATACAAAAGCAAAAACAAAACCCAAAAAATTGTAGCGGGACGTGTTGGTGTATGCCTGTAGATCCAGCTATTTGGAAGGCTGAGGTGAGAGGATTGCTTGAACTTGGGAGGTCAAGGCTGCAGTGAGCTGTCGTTATGCCACTGCACCAGCCTGGGTGGCAGAGTGAGACCCTGTCTCAGAAAAAAAAAAAAAATAAAATAATAAAATAAAAAATTGGAATCGTCAGTTTAGCAAATCATGGGGAGAGGAAACCAGCATCCACAGATATGGAACAAGAAGGAGAAGGAGGAGGTTGCTGGAAGAAGAATTTCTACTTGGCTGACCTCTCACTTTTTCTTCAATTTTTTTTTTCCTTTTAGTAATTATTTCAAATTTTGCTATTAGATTGGTGCAAACGTAATTGTGGTGTTTGCTATTGAAAGTAATGGTGAACGCTGGATGCGGTGGCTCACACCTGTAATCCCAGCACTTTGGGAGACCCAGGCGAGTGGATCACGAGGTCAGAAGATCGAGACCATCCTGGCTAACACGGTGAAACCCCATCTCTACTGAAAATACAAAAAATTAGCTGGGCGTGGTGGCGAGTGCCTGTAGTCCCAGCTAGTCAGGAGGCTGAGACAGGAGGATGGCGTGAACCCGGGAGGCGGAGCTTTCAGTGAGCCGAGATTGTGCCACTGCACTCCAGAGGGAGACTCTGTCTCAAAAAAAAAAAAAAAAAAAAAAAGGGGGGACCCCCTCTCCAAAAAAAAAAAAAAAAAAAAAAAAAGGGGGAGACGCCGTCTCAAAAAAAAAAAAAAAGAAAGAAAGTGATGGTGAAAGCCACAATTACTGTTGCACGAACCTAATAAAATGCAAAGCAAAATAAGGATATAATAAAAAGAAAAGACCTCATTTATTCTCCCCAGCTCCTACTGTATTCTTCAGAAACTCTCCTTGTCAATGTCCTACAAAACCTCAACCCCACAACCTTCAGAGATAACTAAATGTGAAAATACTGGAAAAGCATCCACTTTTATACCTCTCAGAAATTAAAAATAGTTACAAACTAGTCATTTTTGCACCTAGCTGAGACTAGTTTTATTTTTTTTGATAGGGAGAGCCAAATGTCCTAATACGAGTTACTGAGCAGTCTCCCCTAGTCTCATTCATTTCTGGTGCTGTCTGTGTTATATACCACATTTCTGTCTGTCTATGGCTTTGTTTCTGAGCTTTCTTTTCAGTACTTTTGATCTACTTTTACACTTGTCAAATGCCGCTCTGTTTCATTGTTATAGTCTTGTAATATATGTCTTGATATCTGATAGGGCAAGTTTCCTATCCTTTATTTATCTTTTAAAAAATTGTTTTTACTTTTCAAAAGACTTTTATGCGTTTATACAAATTTTATTTTATTGAAAGAAAATTTTAACCAAGCATGGTGGGCACATGCCTATAGTCCTAGCTACTCAGGAGACTGAGGATGGGGGATAGCTTGAGCCAAGGAGTTCACATTCAGCCTGGGCAACACAGCAAGACCCTGTCTCAAAAAGAAAAAGAAAACATTTTATTGAAAATAGTATGTTTTAAAAGCAGTTCCACTACATTGGAATACTATCTTTAAAAAAAAAATTCTAATTTTTAAAGGCAAGGTCTTGCTGTGTTTCCCAGGCTGAAGTGCAGTGGTGCAATCATAGCTCATTGCAACCTCAAACTCTTGGGCTCAAGTGATCCCCACTCCTCAGCCTCCTGAGTAGCTACCTAACTCCTGGCAGGTACCACTGTGCCTGGCTGATGTTTTTTGTTTTTTATAGAGTTGGGTTCTTGCTATGTTGTCCAGGCTATTCTAGAACTCCTGGCCTTGAGCGATCCTCCTGCCTCAGCCTCCCAAAGTGCTGGGACCCACTGCACCTGGACTATATTGTAATGCTTTAAAATAATCCTAAATCTCCTTGTCAATAAGTGATTGTATTTTTTATATATGTGTGTATATATATATATATGTTTGTTTGTTTGTTTGTTTTTGGGTTTTTTTTATTTGAGACAGAGTCTAGCTCTGTCGCCCAAGCTGGAGTGCAGTGGTGCAATCTTGGCTCACCACAACCTCTGCCTCCCAGGTTCAAGCGATTCTCGTGCCTCAGCCTCCCAAGTAGCTGGGATTACAGGCGCACGCCACCACGCCTGGCTAATTTTTTGTATTTTTAGCAGAGATGAGGTTTCACCATGTTGGCCAGGGTGATCTCAAACTCCTGACCTCAAGTGAGCTGCCTTCCTTGGCCTCCCAAAGTGCTGGGATTACAGGCATGAGCCACCGCACCTGGCTGACATAATATAAATTTTAGAATCACCTTGTCATGTTCCCTGAAAAATATTTTGAGATTTTGATGGTTTTTTTTCTTTCTTTTTAAATTTTACTTTTTGTTTTTAACATGGCTGTGAAATGCTCTGAGTGATGGGTATTTTACTGAATTTATAAAACAATTTGAGAGGGAATTAACTTTTTTTTTTTTTACCCCCCTCTTGGAATTGACATTTATATAAAGTGAGCTTTTAGTACTTGTTGGTGATATGTTCTTTGAGACTTCAAAAGTTGTAATTAAAGGGACAAACATAAATATATATTTTTTAATTTTGGAGATCTGTTTCTTCTATGGGACCTTGCTACAATTTAATGAACTGGGGGAAAAAAAAGAATAAAATGTCAACTCAAATCAAGTAGATAATTAGAATAGAAATATACTTAATCTGAAAGTTGGTTTGCACTAAAGAACTACCTTATAAAAGCATAATGAGTTCTCTCTCCAGATGTGGTTACCTCAATTTATGTTCTGCGGGGAAAAAGCCAGGCAGATGAATCATTATTTGTCTTGTATTTGAATAGATGCTGCTTCATTTTGAAGGGTGACCCTTGTCCCAAAAGATGGTCGGATGACACCATTCTAACTAGTAGATCCTGATTATGTATATGCTGTACTTTTGTGATTACTGTGCCTCCCTTTACGTTAAGAACCTTTCCATATGGAACCCCAATATTCTTACTTTGACTTTTTGTTTTGTTTTGTTTTGTTTTTTGAGACGAAGTTTCGCTCTTGTTACCCAGGCTGAAGTACAATGGTGCGATCTCTGCTCACGGCAACCTCTGCCTCCTAGGTTCAAGCAATTCTCCTGCCTCCCCCTCCCAAGAAGCTGGCATTACAGGCACGTGCCATAACACCTGGATGATTTTTGTATTTTTAGTGGAGACAGGGTTTTACCATGTTGGCCAGGCTGGTCTCGAACTCCTGACCTCATGTGATCCACCCATCTCAGCCTCCCAAAGTGGGGAGATTACAGGCGTGAGCCACCACGCCTGGCCTTACGCTGGTTTTTGCATATACCGAAGTTTTCATCACCTGTGCTTGTTCTGGTTTTCTTTTTTTTTGACACGGAGTCTCCCTCTGTCGCCCAGGCTGGAGGGCAGTGACCCAATCTCGCCTCACTATAACTTCGCCTCCCGGGTTCAAGTGATTCTCGTGCTTCAGCCTTGTGAGTAACTGGGATTACAGGCACGTGCCACCACGCCCAGCTAATTTTTGTATTTTTAGTAGAGATGGGGTTTCACCATGTTGGCCAGGCTGGTCTCGAACTCCTGACCTCATGTGATCCACCCATCTCAGCCTCCCAAAGTGGGGAGATTACAGGCGTGAGCCACCACGCCTGGCCTTACGCTGGTTTTTGCATATACCGAAGTTTTCATCACCTGTGCTTGTTCTGGTTTTCTTTTTTTTTGACACGGAGTCTCCCTCTGTCGCCCAGGCTGGAGGGCAGTGACCCAATCTCGCCTCACTATAACTTCGCCTCCCGGGTTCAAGTGATTCTCGTGCTTCAGCCTTGTGAGTAACTGGGATTACAGGCACGTGCCACCACGCCCAGCTGATTTTTGTATTTTTAGTAGAGATGGGGTTTCACCATGTTGTCCAGGCTGGTCTAGAATGCCTGACCTCAAGTGATCTGCCTGCCTCGGCCTCCCAAAGTGCTGGCATTATAGAACTGCGCCCAGCCCTGTTCTAGTTCTCTGAAGAGACTGTAAGTTGTAGACACTTCTGTTTCCCCTGTAACTTCTCACCATGTGCTACCTGACATGCTGCTCAGTACAGTAGCTGCACAATAAGTATCCTAAGCCCACTGATCAGCTCTTTCAGAGCAGGGTCCTGCTCAGTGAGCATTGCTACAGGTTCTCAGTCACACAATGAAAGGAAAGGAAAGGCATTAGAGACCACCTTGTCCAACCAATGCTTACATTACTGCAGTTGAAGAAATAGAGGCTTTGGGAGAGTAGAGATTAGCACGGCGTTGGCCATTTCCTGGT